AAATTATTAATTTAAATGTAAGTACATAGTTGTTAAGGCCACTTAATATAAAGTGGGTCCATCATTTTTACCCTATTGTTTGTTATATTTATTTTGCTCAATGTCTTCTGGGGTTTTGGTTCTTTTACTGTTGTAGATATCCCATAGTATAACAAAAATATTATATATCTGTTTATTGTGTTTGGGCCCCCCCTGGACGAGCGAGCATAGGCACGTGTCTAGAATGCCTATGCGTAAATCCGGCCCTGGTCACTCCCACAACAGCATCACTGACTGTGACTGTTTAAAGCAGCGGAGCTTCTGCGGTCTCTGCTCTGTAACACAGGAGCAGCTTCACACCATGTTTGTTCTGGGTCTGATCACCTGTGTCGTGCTGAGAGCATTCAGTGCTCAGGCAAAAGTGGTCCATAGCTTTGATGAGTGTGGATGGTTTTTCTACAGACACACAGAACCAAGCGGAATGGATCAGAATGCCAAGAAAATCTGTCAGATGCTGGAAAATAGAGGTTTTTATTATGCTAGTCTGTACTCTGTTCATCACAAGATCCCTCTCTACAGCGCCTACACATTGGACCCTAGATGCTCAAGCAGCCATGGAAGGCCAAAAGACTGGCGGCTCGAGCCACAGGGGACTATGAGCTTTCATTAGCAGTTGAAGCTCTGCATTTTATAAGAATCAGTTCAGGTAATTTATATTATCTGTTTTGTCTTTGCAAATACATTTTAAAAAATGCCAAATAAAAAAAATGAAATTACATTGGATGGCACTTTATTGAACATTCTTGTACCAAAAAACAGTAAACGTTAAAAATGTCCACTAAAAGACAATGAGACCGTAAGAACAAAGCCTTTCCTTGTATGAAATTTAAGGTGTATTTGTACGGTAAAGCTTAAATAAATAGTAAATAAATAAATAAATATACAAAGTCGTGATTTGGGGCATCCTAGTGTCCCGGGCTCATATGCCTGACATACCCTGCGTCCCCCTTAACAGTGCCACTGTTAAAGAGATGGGTTTTTAATCTATGGGTTTTTAACGTTAGGTAGATTGTTCCAGAGTTTAGGTGCTAAATAAGAAAAGGATCTGCCGCCCGCAGTTGATTTTGATATTCTAAGTATTATGAGATCGCAGCAGACATGAAGAACTATAATGCAATAAAAACCCAATGTGTAGTGAGCCAGGATCTTTACCAGTGACCTAATCTGAGTACATGTTATACTGATTCAGTCAAGAGCTTCAGCCCAGGAAAAATATTGCATTTATTCATGTAGTTCACACCACCCTTAAAACAAAACCCAAACGAAAGTCATTTAAAACGAATACAAAATTGCGAAATGCTTCAAGCTCATGTAGTTCTTCCCCTTTTGGATCAAACTTGGAACTGATGCAGAAGTGAAACAACACAAAAAAAATAGCATTCCTTGCTATCTAAGAAATATTTCTTAACAGATTCTTAGAGTTCCACAAAAAACTCTGTGGTTCAACATGAGTTTATTGTC